TATCAGGAATTCTAAAGTAACATTTTCAAATGACAACTAATCATGGCTCACTTATAAAAGATAAAATATATGCACTAAATTAATCTGTAATACTAAACAGAGCAGATACCTCTTAAATCTGGGGAGTCATCTCAAAATATACATGCTGGAGTCCTACCTCTATAGAATAATCAGATACATCTAGGGTAAGCCCTCACTTTCTAATTTGAAATGATTTTCCAAGCTACTGTCACATACCTTGCTATGCCTTAGAGATGGTTAAGGAACTAAATGCATGAGTCTTTGAAATTTTTGCTCTAAGTTTGGGCTTTTCAGGTATAGGGGATACTAAGAAGAGTAACATTAAGACAAAAGTCTCCAATGTAAGTAGAAAGGTTACCATATGTTCTGTATTACATTTTTTTACCTCTCACACATACATATCCAATTTTAAATAAAACTATTTTTTAAATATTCTCACATTAGTGGCCCTCCCTGGTGGCACAGCAGGTTAAAGCACAGCACTGAGAATCTAAAGCCGCTTCCACATGAGTTCGATTCCTGCCTGCCCCGGAGGTGACCACATGGTGTGGCAGACCTCTCCTGACCCATCCGCTGCTCCCCTCAGCAGTGTACTTCGTCGATCTGCCTGTTCTGTTCCCCACTCTGTCCCTGGTGAATCCTCTCACCGCCTCTGAATCTCTGGCCTGTACCCCAGTTCTGTATGCACAAATAAATAAATAAACCTTAAAAAAAAAAAAAATTCTAACATTAGTTTATTATTTTATTTTGCTCTGCTAAACTTGCCATCATTAAAAATGTAATTTTTTTCTACCAAAAAAATACCTATCATTGGAAATGTATCAAAAATCACTTTAGAATATTGGTAGCATAATATAAAAATCAATTTAATATAGAAAATTACAAAATAATTATTGAAAACATAGATGCTTTCTATGTTTATTAAGCATAGTATCTACCAGACTGGCTTCATAATATTCTTCAGTGTCAAAAAAAAAAAAAAGGTCAAAACTATGGATCCACAACAGTGCTAGGGTACTCATACAAAAGCAAATTAAAGCAATAAGCTAAATCTAAAATTTACATTGAGGATTCCATGAGATAAACTGAGGACAATCCTTTTCCAAGAAAGATAATGTTTTAGCCTAATAGTTAACTAAAATGTAGAAAGAGTTAAGAAAAATAACTCTGCAATAATGGTTTTTGGTACATTTTTATTATTATTATTTAAATTAATAAGTTTAATTATTAATCTAATTAATTTGTTTTAGCAGTTTCTATTCTCTGTAACCCTGGTGGCACATTAATTTTCAGAACATCTTGACAGCTAATTATATATATTATATATATATAGATCTTTTATATAGATCTTTTATCTTTATTATGGCCATTTCTCTCAAAAAGGGGGGGGGGACTCTTTTCCATAATGCTTTCACTCTTTCCTACAAGTTTAAAAATTCCACCTTCTAAATTCTCTAAATTAATAAGGGAACCAACAAAACCACAAATATAATGAGAGGAAACATATAAATGGTTCAGGGGCTCCAAACTTCTAATTCTAATATTAATGAGTATTTCTAGACAAGATCCGTTAACATACAAAATCACTCCCTTTCCAATCTAAGAAAAAAAATGAATTAAGTACCTTGTTCATAGCAGAGATGGGCAACCATCCATTCTGTCTTTGGGCTAAATCCAGAACTGGAAGCACAGCTGCTGCTTTATGTCCTTCTGGATAGTTTTTTACAATTGCTTCTATTCTCTGTATCAAAGAAAAAGCATCTATTTTTATGTATCTGGAAGATACCAAATATTTTTTTAAATCAACTATATGATGTTATTATTGTCATACCTTATAGTTTTCTGGTGTGAAATCAAATGGAGTATCTGGGTTATTCTCGGGAGTATCTCTGTGCTATATACAAAGGGAAAAGTTGCCCAAAATTATTAAAATCCCTTGAAAAGCGTTAATAAACTTTGTATATTTGTACACTACCAGATAGTTTAATCTTGTTAGCTTTAATTCCAATATGATATGTAATGGTCTATTTTTCCATCAAAAAAAAAAATTAGCTAACCTTATTATTAAACAGCCAGAATTACTAAACACATTTAATGAGTATTACCAAAGTATTTTGAGGAGTCAACATTTTAGAAAAATTTTAGAAATCAACATTAAAAGGGTAAGAATGGTTATTTATTTCTGGACCGAAAAGTTATAGCCAACTTATAAGAACTTCTAAAATAATTAAAAATACACTAGCTATTATTGGAAGTCTTATAAAATTGACACAATTTTAATTGTGAATATTTGTGAATTTTCCCAAGAGATTATTTTATCAAGGATATAAAAACCACCATTTCTTCTTCATATAAATAGAAACTAGATAGAAACAAGTTGCTTTATTCCTTCTCCATAAAAGAGTAGGCCCCTTTCAAAAACTGACAAATAGCATGTCAACAGGAAATCAAATGAGTCACACTGAGTTTAACACATCAAATAATGTTTTGTGTGTATAGTGAACAAAGAGCTGAATCCCTTAATATGTTAACCCTTACTTTTTCAAGGACATAAAGGAGGAATGTATTTTCAAGATTTTTATGTTCTTGCTTTTTCAAGGACTTAAAAAAAGAAAACAATCTTTGGGCAACGATCTCAAATATGTGGCAAATTGGTTATATTTTAAACAAAGATGACAAAATACAAACAGGAATCTGCTTATCAATAGTATGGCTCACTCATTTAATTCATTCAGCTTGGAAATAATTCAGTTCACAAAACCGTACCACAAATCCAAAATCATCATACAATTCCACTAAATTTCTTTAAATATTAGATTAATCCTTCAAAACTGTACCGTGTCACAGAAAAGGGATATATTACCTTAACCTTTCTGAATTATTCAACTAAGCTGGAACATTCACTGACTACTACCTGAATTCTTATTCCCAGAGTTGGCCTGCTGCCACTTTAAACTTGAGAGTTTCAACTAGAGCCATGCAGCACCTTTTGAAATGTGGCTAATTCAAAAAGCTGTATCTAAATTTCTACAATGGCCAACATAAACCAGACACTATTGCCTATAATATTTTGGATTACAGCAGATGTACTAAATTTTCAAATCTTCACTCGAAAGAAACCTAAATAATTACTTACCACAAATAAGGCTCCTCCAGCTCCATTTTGCACAACTGTCTTATGTACATTTCTTATATGTCGTCCCTAAAATGTTTAGAAAATTTAGTAAATTAGAGAATGATACATCTTAAAACAATTTGCAATAACAATTGCTGGCAAGGACATGGAGAAAAAGGAACTTCTCCTGCACTGCTAGTGGGAATGCAAACTAGTATAACCACTATGGAAAACTGGCAGTGAGTGCCTCAAACTGCTAAAAATGGAGCTTCCACATGACCCAGCAATCCCACTCCTAGGTATCTACCCAAAGACACAAAACACTGATTCAAAAAGACATCTGTAACCCCATGTTTATTGCTAATTTATTTGCAATTGGAAAGACATGGAAACCACCTAAATGCCCAAAAGTAGATGACTGGATTAAAAAAAATGTGGTACATATACACAATGGAATATTACTCAACAACCAAAATAATAATAATAAACACATGCCTTTTGCAGCAACATGGATGGAGCAGGAGACCAGGCGAGAAAACAATAATAATAATGAACAACTATATACCAGAGACATTTTACAGGGGTGGAATGGAGAGTGGGATAAAAAACGGTAGGGGGAGGGAAGTACATGGGATTATGGTGATAGTACATAGGTGATTTGGTGATGGGAAGTCCACGGGGATTACAACTGAGATGGTAAAAGGCACAAAATAATATAAAAATAAAATTACATCATTAAAAAAATCACAATTAAAAACAATGGAATCAACTTATTGAAATAAAAGATCGTAGGAGATATGGTCTGCTACCTACCCTGTCACATCTATTTAAGGAAAATTGGAGACCCTAAGGTAAGGTTAATAGTGTGCCCAAAGTCACACACAAAAGTCAATGAAGACCCTCCCTGGTGGCGCAGCGGGTTAAAGCACAGCACTGAGAAGCTAAAGCCACTTCCGCATGAGTTTGATCCCCGCCCGCTCCCCCGGAGGTGACCACATGGCACGGCAGACCTCTCCTGACTTGCCCGCTGCTCCCCTCAGCAGTGTACTTCGTAGATCTGCTTGTTCTGCTCCCCACTCTGTCTCTGGTGAAGCCTCTCGCCACCCCTGAACCTCTGGCCTGTACCCCAGTTCTGTATGAACAAATAAATAAATCTTTAAAAAAAAAAAAAAGTCAATGAAAAAACCAGAAAAATCAAACCCAGATCTCAAGTCCAGTATCCTTTCTATTTATATGCTGTTGGCATGTATCTGGAGAATTAATGTACAATTTAAGTTACTTTTTTCACTTTTATCTAATCAAATTGAATGCCAGCATTCATTTAATGTGGACCTTTAGATGTTTTCATTCTATACAAATGAGTCACACACTATTGTACAAAAGAGTCAATGTACCCCTCTTTTGAATTCTTTACTAAATTAGTTCAGAAACTCCAGACAAAAAAAAGTAGTTTCTGAAAGCTATTTACAATCCTATGCAGAATTACCATGCTCTATTGTTTTAGAAGGAATCCATTTGATTACCCTCTCCAATGCATTCTCTTTGCCCTGATGGTCAACCCCTCACATTCTTTACCCTGTACTCCCTGAATAGTAATTCAACTACTGTTCACAAATCCTCCAATTTCTGAATTCTACTCACCACAGATGGTGGAACCCTGGATTAAACTAAACATGGAACTGGCAAAGCATTGAACAATTCAAAGAAGGCAGACATACTGAAGTTTAAACAGTGACATATTATTATCACATATTTATTTAACTTCAGGTACAGAATGTGAATACAGATAGATAACATAAGTGTGATAAAGACCAATTATAGGGTAGTGGAAGGGAGAGAGAATACAATCAGGGAGCAGTACACCAGGGGACTTCAACCATGTTGGTTTTCTTTCTTAGGTACAGTGTCATTTATCTTGTTTGTTTGCTATTTTTGTGCCCGAAATATGTAACTTAAAAAAGCACAAAAACAAACACACAGTCGAGATGCAAAAATGCACAAAATGCAGAATGATGTAAAAAATAAATAAAAATTAAAAAAGGAACTTCCAGTAGAAAAACAGCATAATCCTATTAAGACTAAATTGATTGTTTTGGCACCTGTGATGAAAAATTAGTTTCACTCTAATTCCATCAATTAATACAAAAAAAAAGTCCTTTAAAAATAAAAAAAAATTAAAAATTAATGTAACACATAGTAAGGATAATTAAGTTACTAAACTTTTAGCCAGTATCTTCCAAATTGTTAATATATGAATTATAATACAGTTTTTTCTATATTCCTGATTTGTCTGTATAGAACCTCTACTGAGATAAACATAGAAACTAAGGCCATAATTCCCAAATACCCTAAAAACACTCTTAACATAAAGCTCTTTTTTTTTTTTTAAAGATTCATTTATTTATGCATACAGAACTGGGATACAGGCCAGAGGCACAGGTGCAGTGAGAGGATTAACCAGAGACAAAGTGGGGAGCAGAACAAGCAGATCACAAAGTACACTGCTGAGGGGAGAAGTGGGTGGGTCAGGAGAGGTCTGTCACGCCATCTGGGTCACTTCTGGGGCAGGTATCGAACTCATGCTGAAGTGGCTTTAGCTTCTTAGTGCTGTGCTTTAACCCACTGAGCCACCAGGGAGGACCTTCTTACCATAAAAGTTTAAAGTTTTAACTCAAACTATTTATAAGACAGTCTCTTACATCACTTCAACTGAATTTTTTTTAAATCAAAGAATGATTTTTACTGAGTAACATAGTAAGTTACTTAATTTGCAAGGAGATCAAAGGACTTCATCATAAAGGAAGGAAGGATTAATTTAAGAGTAAGAAAAGTACCCAATCTTCTCTTCACACTGAATCTTAACATTTTTTCCTTTATTTTATTAATTTTTTATCCACTCCCCTTTAATTCAGGTGGGTCCTTAGAACTCAATTTTGTCCTACATTCTTTCCACACAAGTTTTATGTTAGAAATTTTATCCATTCTGAACTCTATGCTGACTCATGAATTTCACACATTTACGACAAAAATGTATAGCCTGAATATAAACCAATACACACACATGAACACTTTACAGAACTCAGTGAGTAAACTCACTAGTAATTAACAGATGCAGTCTATAATGAGATAACATTCCCAGCTATCAAATTGGTAAAGTTTTTTTTTTTAAGATTAATATTCAATTCTGTTGAGAATATGGAGAAGTAGATCTGCACATACATTAGTTAACAACTGAGAAAGCCTTTTTGAAAACAAACTGAGTATGATGTATAGAAAGACTGCAATGTTTTCATCTTTTAACCTAGTAATACCTCTTTTAGAAATTTATGCTAAAGACTAATATAAAACAAGGGTGAAGAGGCCCTCCCTGGTGGCGCAGCGGGTTAAAGCACAGCACTAAGAAGCTAAAGCCACTTCCGCATGAGTTCGATCCCCACCTGCCCCGACGTGAACCACATGGCGCGGCAGACCTCTCCTGACCCGCCCACTGCTCCCCTCAGCAGTGTACTTCGTCGATCTGCCTGTTCTGCTCCCCGCTCTGTCTCTGGTGAATCCTCTCACCGGCCCTGCACCTCTGGTCTGTACCCCAGTTCTATATGCATAAATAAATAAATCTTTAATTTAAAAAAAAAAAAAGGGTGAAGGTTTATATACTAATATGTTCTCTGTATTATTTCTTACACAATAGAAAAGTGTAAGCAAACAAAAAGCCTAATATGGGGAATTTTTCATTAACTATAAATATTTCTAACATAAGTTACTGTATAGTTATCAAAAATTGTTATTTACTACAAAACACTGGCACAGAAGTACCTGATATCTCCGAAAATGGAAAATACCAGTTTTAGTTTAGTTGCTAAACTAAAACACATCAGAATAAACTACTATCCCAATTACATAGAGCAGACACTAATGAAGAGATTGGAAAGTCTATAGTTTGTGCTTATCTCTATTGTTATAATGTTAAGATTAAAAGGGGCTTGCTTCATATTTGTTTCTTATATTGCTTGTTTTTCACTTAGCAGGGATTAATTAACTAAAAAAAAACTTACTTAACAAAACATTCCAGAGAGGTACAAAACAAAATTTCTCACTTTGCTGTAAACCTGTTTCTTCCTTCCAATTTCCCTATGTATCAAATTAAACACCATCAGTCTTTAAGTTAAAACAGTTTCAATTTCAGGTCAGTATTAGATCCTTTTCTCACTAATCTAGGATCTGCCTTTACTTAAAATAAAACAACAATTGTGAAAACTGGCCTTCAGACCTATGTATCAGAAAATACTGGAAAACCTAGTCTGAGAATTCTCTGCTTGACCTATAACCCAGGATGTGTTTACATGTATTTATATGAGTTTACCATCAACCTCCACACTTATATTCAAACAAACGTATTTTAAAATCTGAATCCCTGACCACAAATACTGTATGAGAACGTCAAGAAAAAGCAGCTAAATTATAGAAAAGAAAAAAGCTGAAGCATAATTCAGATTGTCCTTCAGAAGATACGGATTTTGATTACCACTCCACCACTTACAAACATATGACCTTACAAAAGACACTGTAAGCCTTAGTTCCTGCACCTGTGGAGTAGATTTTCACTTGAAATGTTCTGAGATGTAAATAATAGTTTCTCTGAAAGTACTATATAACCTGTTACAGCATTATTATCTGCATATCTGACATGGGAATAAAATTTACACTTAGTAACTAACCAATGCAGGATTTAAACAACTATATTTTAAGAACTAAAGTTTTTTTTTTAATTGTGTTGGTTGTTAGTTGACTGACTACTGTCATGTGGTCATAAAAAGAACAAATTACTGAATTTCTTACATTTTGCACAAAATTATATTTTATTATTTGTATCTGCACTTACGTCACTTTTCTAGTAATATAAATATTAAGTGACTGAGAAATACCATCTCTTTCTTCTGCTAAAAATTTCTTTTTACTTAAAAAAAGTGGGTAAGGAATAGTGTTGGTGTGCAATTTTCCACTGGCCTCAGGTTTCCACACATCTTTATAGACACAGGGATTTTTGCAGAGATGTCTCCACCTTGGGAATAGGTTGAGCAAATTTTCTTGCAATCAGGATTGGGTTCCTCAGATGAAATGGACAGTATTCACCCAGGCTGCTCCATGTCAATCCCATGGAATTAGAACAAGAAGTTCACACTGCCTGCTGTACCCTAAGTAATAAATTCCTCTGTCTCTGATTAAGGCATCTCAGTCAACATCAAAGAAACTCAGGCAAGTACTTTGTCGGCTTGCAGGTAGGGTAAGTATTGACAAGGTAAAATAAAAAATATAAAATAAGCCAGCCCCATACCCTATTGATTTTTTAAAATGCAGAAAATATATAGGAATATATATTACAAAAGGAGTAAGATGAAAACAGAAATATAAGCGAAACCTGTAACACTGGCTGGCTCTAGAGAGGGAGACCAATGAGCCAGCATGGGAAATTTAATATATATAACATAGTGATATTTATCATAATCTATATCCTGTATCCTCCATTCATTACTGTAATATATATTTTATACTTACTGAGATTTCTTTATCCTTACATACTCTGAATTTCTTGCCTTGTGTATATAGTACATTTCAAATCTTAAAAACACAGTCTTTAACTTACTATCACACCACTCTAATTCTAACATTACTTCAGTTCTGTGCATTACTCTCAACAGTTTTCTATCTAACCCTACCCCAATCTAAATCATCCTATCTAATGTCACCAAACGAATCTCAAAATACTGTGCTTTTGATGGTATTTGTGATGTGAAAGAAAGGACTAAGACCAAACAGGAAGTTAACCGTATCATTTTTTTTTAAGATTTATTTATTTATGCATACAGAACTGAGGTACAGGCCAGAGGTACAGGGGTGGTGAGAAGATTCACCAGAGACAGATTTATTTATTTATATATACACAAAACTGGGGTGTAGGCCTGGGGTGTGGGGGTGCGAGGATTCACCAGAGAGAGAGAATGGGAAGCAGAAAAGGCGGATGTAATAAAATACTGGCTGAGGGGAGCAGCAGGGCAGGAGAGATCTGCTGTGCCATGTGTCATCAGCTCTCTGGCCAGCTGAGAATCAAACTTGTGCTACAGTGGCTGGATAGCTTGAAAGTGCCTTCTTTTAATCCTTGTGCCACCAGGGAGGCCCCAGGCACAAAGCTTTTTACACATTACTTAATTCACAGTAGGTCACAGAACTTATGACAACAAATTAGCTACCTGAATGGAACTATCTGATGATATCAAAGCTCTAGAAGAACAAAGTAGATTTAGGAAATCAAGTTTAAGAAAATCAGGCACATATGTATAGAAAGACAGATTAGAAATGAAAAGGTTAGCCATGTTCTTAGAAAAGGATGCTTATGCTGTTTTTAGGTAGTAAATGTCTCTTTTCTGTTCCTACAGAAAGCTTAAATATATATACATTAACATAACATTTGAGCAATTTAATGTCAATGTGTGAAGGTGGTTTCTTCAAAATACTAGAAAAAGGGCTCAGATTATTTGTTTATAAAATGAAGAAGCAGCAAAGGGTTAGGTAAACTGATAAATACTAGCTTTTTTTTTTAAGTTAGTCATCCACTGCAAGTTAGCACGTGTCAAGCTGCCCTTATACACATTAGGAACTTATATTCATTACCTATCACACTCATTATAGTACCATGTCAGATATTTCACATAAAAGACTAACTTAAGACAGTAAAAGTTTGAACTAGCATCTTTACACTCCCTATAGACCATTTGAATTCAATTTCACTTTGGAATAAAGAGGCATTTGAGGACCAATAGGCCTTAGAATAACAGGAAATAAAGGAACTGTACTGATTCTAAAAGTAGCCTCAGTTTCACTCTTTAGTCTTTCACTAGAGTCCATACTTTCTCATTAGAATCTGAAATGTATGCACTACAATAAATAAACTCCAACTGAATTTAAAATAATCCAACCAAAAATTCACCTACCTTTTTAAAAATAAACAAGAACATAATCTGTTATATAGGGCAGATGTTAAGAGTGGGTTTCAATTCTAGCTCCTCTTCTCCCTAGCTTCCCCTTGAGTGTTTCAGAAGGAAAAAGAGGTTTACAGCAGTATAGTTTTTCTATTGATTCAAGTATTGTATCAAGTATTTCAGCTTATTTTTTATGACTCCTCAAACATTTATGGCTATTTATTATTTCCATTTCACTTTAAAGGACACTGAGGCTCAGTGACAATAATTTGCCCCTTGCCACACAATAGTGACAAGGATGAATTCTGAGCCTAGATATTTTGAGCTTAAATCCCTTGCTTTCTACTAGCCTACCTTTTACAATTAGTTGCAATTGCAATAGCACACAATGACAAAAAATAAAAATTTATTTCTTCCTCCCATGCCCTAAGAATCAGATCTTTTCAAAGGTCATACTTTTTATAAATTTTCCTGTTTCTCAAATACTCATAGTATCCAACTCTGCTCACCATCCGTTACCAATTATTTGTATATAAAAGGCCACAGTCAGGCAGGGGAACTTTAAGGAAAAGGAAACTGAAAATAAAACTGACAGGTTCAGCAGCTAATTAGGTCAGAAAGACCAATGTCTAAAGGGCTATGGTAAGGCAACTAAAAAAGTTTCTTTATTAGCAACACATACAGGCAAGAAACAACCTTTTAGCATAAGCCAAATATTTACAGATGAAATCAACAAACCAAATAAACAATATGCTTCTGAACAACTCTTAGGTCAACAAAAACATGTAAGATAAAAATGGACTTATTTCGAGACTAATGAAATGGGGAGACAAGCTACCAGACCTTCGGGAATGTCCTAAAAACAGCTCTAAGTGGGATGTTTATAGCAACACAAATCCAAATTAAAAAAAAAAAAAAAAAAACAGGAAAGAAAGATCTCAATTGACAATCTAAACTCTGAGACAGGCCTGGAGGCCCTAGCCACAGGCATCAGTTATCCAGTACAGGGGAACCCAGATGTGAGCTGCAGGAACTCCCAGGGCTAGCCTCAAGGGTCTGACTCCTGGTAGGGGCTCATGGAAGTCCTGCCTGCCATCAGCAGCATTCCAGCAGACAGGAACCTCCACTCCTGCCTCTGTCCACCTAGACACAGAGCCCAGGCACCAGGCAGATAACATCCACAACCCGGGAAGAGCACTCAGTAGTCATGCTGACTGGCATGAGCAGTATGGATGTTCCTATGTCTAGAACTAACCAAAAGCAAAGAACAGGGAGAAAGAAAAATTCTGCAGATGAAGAAAGTGGGGGGGAGAAAAAAGCCAAAAAACCGTGTAATAACAGAGCAGAAATAAGTGAAATAGAAAAAAAGACTGTTCAAAAGATCAATGAAACCAGAATTATTTCAAAAAAGAAAAGCAAAATTGACAAGCCACTAGCTAGGATTATGAAAAGAGAAAATCCAAATTAATAAAACCAGAAATGAAAGAGGAAAAATTGCAGCAGGTAAGGCAAAAATACACAGGCTCATAAGAATCTACTTACATAAGTTTTTATGCAAACAAATTGGACAACCTAGAAGAAATAAACACATTTTTAGAGACATATAACTTGCAGGACTGAACCAAGATGAAAGCTTAAATAGTCCACTCACATGTACTAAAACTGAAAAAGCGATATAAAGTCTCCCTAAGAACAAAAGCTCAGTACTGGATGGCTTCTCTGGTGAATTCTACCCAACCTTCAAAGAAGATTTAATATGTATAACACTCAATAGTTTTAAAAAAAAATTGAGTAAAAAAAAATTTGAGTAAAACTTCCCAATATATTCTATGAGGCCAAATTACCTTGATTCTAAAACAAAGACAGTATAAAAAGAAAACTGTAGACCAATATCTAAGTAGGAACTATAAGAAACCAATATCTACATTTGCTTAGATGCCAAAAACCTCAACAAAACCCTAGCAAACCAAATACGGCAGCACATCAAAATAATTATCCATTATGATCAAGTAGGATTCACCCTAGGGATGCAAGCTGGTTCAGTGTACACAAATCAATCAATGTCATCCAACAGAGTTTAAAAAAAGGAAAACCACATAATCAATAGATGTGGTAAAAGCATTCAACAAGATCCAACATCCATTTATGATAAAAAAAAACCTCTCCAAAAAATGAAAAAATGGGAATACATGGAACTTCTCTACACATTATAAACGCTATATATAACAATATCATGAACAATCACCCAGCCAATATCATAATCAATGATGAAAAGCTGAAAGCTTTCCCACTAAGATCAGAAACAAGAATAGGATGGCCACTATCAGAACTAGTATTCAACATAGTTTTGGAAGTTCTGGGTGAAGCAATAAGGTAAGAAAAAGACATACAAGGAATCCAACTTGAAAAAGAAGTGAAAATATCACTATTTACAGGTTGCATGTTAAAATACTTAGTAAAAGAAAAGGTATCTACAAAAAGACCTCTAGAAATAGCAAATGAACACAATAAATTGGCACAATACAAAATCACTTCTGTGTGCAAAAACTGCATCAGAAGAGGGCCTCCCTGATGAGACATGGGCATCGCTGGTGGCACAAGCACTATGAAGTTACCTGCAGCTACTGAAGCATGAGTTTGATTGCCCACTAGGAAGGTAAGCGATATGGGACAACAGCAGCAGACCTCCTGTCTCACCCGCTGCTCCCTTCAACAGTGTATTTCTGTCAATCTACCTATTCTGTTCCCCACTCAGTCTCTGCTGAATCCTCTCACCACCCCTGCACCTCTGGCCTGTACCCCAGTTCTGTATGCATAAATAAATAAATCTTTGAAAAATAAATAAAACTGTGAGGGCCTCCCTGGTGGCCTAGGGGTTAAGTTTCAGCATTGTCACCCCTAAGGCCTGACCAGGGAGCCAATCTATATGTATGGCACAGAAGATCTCTGTCACACCCACTGCTCCTCTCTCAGCAGTGCATTTCAGTAGATCCACTGTTCAGCTTTCCACTCTGTCTCTTACCTCCGAATCTTTGGTCTAAACCCAAGTTCTTTCACTCAAAAATAAAATCTAAAAAAAAAAAAAAAAAAAAAAAGCTCAACAATGGGTCTCGACAATCTAAAAAAAAAAAAAACGAGGCAACTCTAAATAATTAATAATTGACTGTAAGAGAATTCATTTTCAAGTTTAAATGATTTTAAGAACTTTCAGCTGAAAGAACCAGTAAAACTTAAGCAGATTTTTTTAGTGTAACTTAAGAAACGAATAAACATAAATTAATGCCATATAAAGTTAAGTTGCTTCATTTTCTAGTCCTAAGAAATAAAACTCAGTAAGTGTGTGTATATACAGTTTCTGGATTTTTATGAACCATCTTCAACACGGTGCAAGGGTTTGTTAAAGCACACCACTATGCAGCTATCTGCAGCCATTGCAGCATGAGTTCCCCAGCCAGGGAGCTGACCCAAAAGACACAGCAGACCTCTCCTGTCCCGCTGCTCCCCTCAGCAATGTATTTCAATCAATCCACCTATTCTGTTCCCCACTCTGTCTCTGGTAAATCCTCTTCCCCAGCCCTGTACCCCAGTTCTTGTATAAATGAATAAATCTTTTAAAAGTTAAAAAAAAAAAAACAAAAACAAATGTGTCTCTTCTCCAAAGAGGAAATGCAGATGGCGAACAAGCACATGAAAAAATGTTCAACATCACTTGTAATAAGAGATGCAATTAAAACCACAATGAGATACCACCTCACCCCAGTGTGAATGGCACATATTAAAAAAACTAGCAACAACAAATGTTGGTGAGGATGTGGAGAAAAAGCAATTCTACTGCACTGCTAGTGGGAATGCAAACTAGTAAGTACAACCACTATGGAAAGCTTTTGGAGGTTCCTCAAGCTGCTTAACATGGAGCTTCCCTGCGACCCAGCAATCCACTCCTAGGTATCTACCCATAAGACACAAAGGCACTGATTCAAAAAGATAACTGCACCTCCATGTTTATTGCTACTTTATTTACAACTGGAAAAACATGGAAACTGCCCACATGCCCAAAAGTGGATGACTGGATTAAAAAGATGTGGTACATATACACAATACAGTATTACTCAGCAACCAAAAAAATAAACACATGCCTTTTGCAGCAACATGGACGGGGCTAGAAGGGATCATGCTTAGTGAAATAAGCCAGAAAGAAAAGGAAAAATACCGGATGGTTTCACTCATAGTAGGAATATAACGGACCAGGCGAGAAAATAATAATGATAAACAGCTATATACCAGAGACATTTTATGGGGGTGGAGTGGGGAATGGGATCAAAAACAGTGTGTGGGGGGGGGAATGCACTAGACTATGGTGATAGCACACGGGTGATTTGATGATGGGAAGCCAACGGGGATTACCACTGAGATGGAAAAATGCATAAAATGTTGTAAAAATAAACTATATTATTTAAAAAAATACAAATGTGTCTAAGAATAGAAATGTTAGGCAGGTTTTTTTTTTTTTAACTCAGTATCTATGGAAGTACTCAGAATAGTAAGGAATATTTAAGTCAGTGACAATAGAAAACTTCTCCACACTGAAAAATAGTAAGAACATGTACTGCATATTACTGAAATTGTTATCAGTGGTTATTTTGCAAACTTATTTTTTTCTCATGGTATTCCCTTAAAAATAAAACATAAGCTAACATCAACTACTATTTTGTAATTGATCCCCATTTAAGTGATTGATCCACTTTCCCTTTTGAGCATTTTCATTCTTAGATGAAGTTTTTTTTAAGATTTGTTTATTTATGCACACAGAACTGGGGTACAAGTCAGAGGTGCAGGGGAGGTGAGAGGATTCACCAGAGTCAGAGTGGGGAGCAGAACAGGCAGACTGACCAAGTACACTGCTGAAGGGAGCAGTGGGTGAGACAGGAGAGATCTGCTGCACCCTATGGATCACTTCTGGGGCAAGATATAACTCACAGAGAAGCCAACAGCTTCACACTCACTGCTGGGCTTTAACCCTGCGCCACCAGGGAGGGTCTCCAAACTGAAGTTTTGAGTCTAACTACATACAGAAAATGAAACACTAGTTGAATTTTCATTAGCATTTTCTACCTTTATTATGCTATTAAGGTGAAGAGAAGTAAAAATTGCATGCTATTCCATTATATTATAAATCCAGTTTACAGGATAAAATTATCTTCTGCAATATTTCAAACAGTCTACTACCACAAAATATTGTGTTTTTATTTTATAAAACATAAAACTGGTGTTAATAGTGACAAAATCCAAAACAAAAAGGCTACTGAGAAAATAATTGCTTATAACATATCCAATTAAAGCAGAAATGATAACAAAATTAGCAATTATTTTAAAATGTAAATGGTTTCACTTTTAGGGAAAGAATTTCTTTAGTAGGACCTTGTCACTCATAGTTTTCCTGAGTTTTGTTAGTGCATTCTGAAATCCACACTATTTGTCAAAGATTATGTTATATAACAGCCTCACAGTGGAATGCTAAGCAGTGCTTAAAATGAAAGTTGCTGAAATGTTTACTGATAAGGGAAAATAATCCAAATGTATTACATGGGGAAAAAACAATCTACAAAACAGTGCAAACAATACCATCTAATTTTTATAAAGTAAATAGAACTTTGTAGGGCTAACTGCAGGTATTGAAATGTCATCATTTTGGTAATTTCCAGGTTGATCAGACTACAGGTAATTTATTTTTAGCTTGTTTTATTTGTTTTCAAAATTATGCTTTTTCTACAATGCAGTACCTGTACATAAAAAGTCAAACTTATTCAGCAGCTCAACAAATACTTACTGAGCACATACTGCACACCAGATGATATTTATTAAAAAAGAAAGGGGGGTGTGTGGGGAAGGGAGAGAAATTAAAACAGGTGTGGAACAACATGAGAGTAGGGTGACAGTGGACTTGGTGTTGAGAATTTTATGGGGATTACACCTGAGAGGAGAAGGCAAATGGTACAAAATGATGTAAATAATTTTGCAGTGATGTAAAAAAAAAAAAAAGAGAGAGAGAAATAAGAGGGAAAAAAAAGAAAAAAATTGCAGAAACTATCATAAAATTTGATTAAAATTTTCTCCACTACTTGAACCCTTGCCTAAATGAAACAACAATCTATCTGTACACTTTATTTCTACCCTTTCTACCCAACTCCAACAACACAGACCAAAAACATTGCCTGAGATGTCTCATAAGCACCAAACTTTTTTTTTTGCAAATTCCCAAGTCTTTTCTTTAAATTGTTCCTTCCCCATAGGACACCCTCCCCCCTCTCCAGTCGCCCTAACTAGCGATGTTAGTTATGTCTCTAGGAAAAAACAAAAACCTTCAAACCAAATTGGATGACATTGCAATGTTATTTCTAACCCTGCACTTTTACATTGTATCATATTTATCTTAAAAGTTTCTCTTACAGGAGACTTACCAAGTTCAAAAGAAGTAGGACTGCCTGACACTGTGTCTTATCTGTCAGATACGGAAATAACACACCAATTTGATGAGGTTTAGAATTAAATATTTAATATAATGTTTGGTACATATAAATGTTTGGTACATAACAGTAGTTATCAACTGTTAACATTATTATCCACGTTGTTACCTAGAGTAGAGTCTAGCAGTGAATGGCCTACAATAGGCCCTCAAATGTTTACTTAAAGATTAAATTCTGCAAACTGTAATATTTCCCTGAGAAAAATAACGTCCCGCGATTACAAAGGTAGAAAAAGTGGTAAAGCCACCATCCAAAATCAGGTCTAACGCTACAGCCCTGAATTCACTTTATCCGACTATGTACTTCCCCCCTCTTCTGATTACTGCTTCTGATAATTGACTGCACCTTTCCATTTTCAATGTTTAGGGGCGTGGGGGGAGAAGGAGGAGGGGCAAAAAGAATTTCTTTCTCTGCAATAAATGCCCTGTTGTTCTCATGTGATTTCTGGAATCCGCATTTGTAAATTATCTTGAACAAGGTGTTTCAACCTCTCTGAAATTCAATCTCCTTGTCTACAATGACATGTACTTAGAGCTCAAGCGACTATTCTAAATCCGTATCTTTGTTGGAGCAGTATGTGTGGTGCTGTCCTTGCAAAGAGTTAATTCATTTAAAAAAAAAAGCCCGATATACAAAACACAATCGCAGGAAATGAGACGCTAATCACCCTTTTCTTGACCCAAAAAAACGCTCAGTAGCTTTTATCGGGCATATTAGAGTCTACAATTCCAGATTCCTCTCCAGTACCCTGCAATCTGAGAGCAACAAGGTCACTAGGTTTAACAAGCAAGGTGCCTGGGTCGAGGACCAGGTCTTAGAAACAGACGTGGACAAACCCGCACAGGCCGAGGTTCCGCGCTAGAACCAAAGAGCGACTACCAGACCGCTCCTCGCCCAAATTGAGCGTAAAATTCCCAGTCCCGGGAGGAGGTGAGGCACAGACAGCAGTTAACATCTGCCGACGCTCCCTCAGGCATCCTCTCTTACTAGAGCTACTACGGCCTCCAGGGGGAGAGGGCGAAGGCCGCACTGTCCTTGCCGTCTTCAGCAGGCCAGTCCTGAACCCAGGGCCCTCGTGTGCCCACAACAAACGCAGACCCGGGGAGAGGGAGAAGGCCGGCGGCAGTGCCCGGGGTCACACCGAGCCGTCTTACCCACGGGGCGGTGAGGCCAGCCGCCCGAACCCGGAGCGCCGCGAAGGAGAACATGGCGGCCCAAACGGTCGGCCTTCCCCGGCGTTGCCAGGCGAGAATCCCGAGCGAGCTGGGACGCACGGCGTGCGCGCCCCCGAGCCCGGGTCCGGCGCGTTCGGGGTTGCGCGCCGCTCCCTACGTGATGGCGGCGGAGAGGCGCCGAGACTGTTGGGGCCCGGTGGGCGGACTCTCGCGAGAGGCGCTGGGCGAGGGCAGGCGGACGCCTCAAGGCCGGGCCGGGAACTGCGGCGTGGGGAACGTACCGGTCCGGCTGGGGAAACGCCCCGGGCTTCTTGGGGCCTGAGTTGCGAGCCTGGATTAACGGGACGGGTTTTGCTTCTGGATTAACAGAACGGGCTTTGCTTCCGGAGTCTCAGGAGGATTTACTTCCTTTTATTGTGGTTACTGTCTTCTGAAAATTCTGTTGCACATCCTTACAAATCCTGTTTCACAAATTAAGGAATGAAGATAGAGAGGCCTGCCGCGCCATGAGCACCAAGGAACTTGGTTCTCATTGGCTTGCTTTAGAGATGTGTGCCGATTTACCTAGGGGTTAAATGATAGACTTGGAATTTGCTTCAGAATAATGCAGCGTGGGAGAAAAATGAAATAGGATTGCCCTTGAGTGGTAACTGTTGACGCTGCATGTTAGCTGTAAAACTATTCACAGTACTTGTGCACGTTAGAAAATTTCCATAATAAAAAAACGTTTAAGTCACTTCCTTCATAATACTTGTTTGGTCATCTCTGGAAATTCTAACAAATATTTCTTCAGTAGCAGCTATAATATGCGGGGAGCTGTTTTCCTGGTGTGCAGTTTACCAGGCACTTGATGCCCTTTCGTTGTTTTTTTCTTTTCCTCCTTCACTGCCTTCTCTTCGTGTGTGTCATGTCCTGTGCCCCCTCCCTTCCTTTTGCCCGTTTTCTTTTTTTGGAATTTTCATAGCAGAACATTCCATCTCTTGCCCCCCCCCCCCATGTATCCCTCATTAGTTTAAGAACCTTAAAACATTCCATTGGATCTCCTATGTAAGGTCATAGAGGCTACCAGTTAATAAGCTAGGGATAGATACCGAATAACTCAGCTTCCATTCCTTTGCTCTATTTTTTTTTTTATTAGTGTGTTTCTTCTAGATCAGCTTTAGTGTTTCTCCTTAAAAGGAAAAAATATTCTGACCTTTAATATTGATTTAAATTATCTCTTCATAAAGTTACCTATATATGTAGACACCCGGATCTATTGAACTCTTTTATACACATAACACTGTTCTTAAATTTAAATTAAATACAAACTTACAAAAGGTTGATACTAACTGAAATTGAATGGAGTCTTTGAATATGGTATGCATAGTGCCTGGATTCCTTAAATTTCTTCTAGTGCCTTCTCTAGCCTCCTAGTCTAGATTATTGCTGATAGTACCTTCCTTAAATATGTCTGCCTCCACTTTCCTTACCACCAGTTTACAACTTTCATGGATATAGAAACCTGCCTTTCTCCTGATTGGTTCAACAACTTGCACTGTACCATATGGAAGGCATTCAATATTTGTTGACTGAAAATTTTGCCCATGGGGCAAATATTTGGCATCTCTAAAAGAGTTGTATGTCTCTGGTTGGATTTATACTTACATGTATCAGTGAGAGTGCTTTTCACCATAAGAAGAGATCTAACTAAAATTAGGATTTATTATCTCAAATGAATGGAATTCCACATGTAAAGCAGCTCCAGGATTAGATAATTCAGTTACTCAAGGATGTCCTCAAAAACTTCAGTGCCTTCCAGCTTTGTACTCCATCATACTCAGCTGGGACTTCTATTATAGTCACAAATTGCCTGCAGCAGCTACAAGTATCATATGCAGATGACAGATTTCCAAGAAAGAAAATTTTCTCACCAGCAGACTTCTTTGTCTCAGAATACCTATCCTGGTAATTAAGACAACGGGCTATAGAATCAGGATAACTTCAGGCAAATTAAATTCTCCTGGCTTCTGTTAGTAACACTACCTTCCTCATAGTTTTACTATGGGAATGAAATGAGTTGACATTCATAAAGTTTTATTCTGAGGATTGATATACTGGTATTTAGAGAATCATGTTAAATTTATCTTCATCTATATCCAGGAAAAAAGCTTATAATGAAGACTGGTAAATAAGTGGGGGGGGGGCGAGGAAGCACTGGATTTACCTTCTTGTTAAATAATGAGGTTTGATAATGTTAAACTTTTAAAAGTTCCCAACATCTAGTGAGTACTTGGTTAGCTGTGGGTTTTACACAGTAAAATAACATCCTTTGGAGTTCAATACATAGAAAAAGTGTATATCTCACGAGTGTCCAATAGTAAGCAAGAACTTACCGGGTTTCCACAACTTCTATATGGAAAAAGGAGCAGATGCAACGAGTGAAAATAGTAATTTTTAAAATATCATGGATCAGGAATCACATTCTCAAAGATGATGTAGAAGGTAAAATAGGTTTTCAACTGCTAGTAAGTATGACATCACTCCTTTCGCCAGTCCAAAAGATTTGTTATCAAATCTTTGTTATCAGAATGACATCAACTTACCCCTGACACAAATAATTCTTAAGTGAAAAATATCAGGATTAATGTCTCTGAAAACAGTTAATAAGCCATCTCACTTATAAAGTAACCTAATGTACAATTATTCTTCCCAGAGTCTTTAGGAAAGAATTGTGTGCACTGTTTGGAAAACAGTTCTTTCCCTGTTCTTCCTCCTGCTCTTAAACACTTTATTGAAACTGATTACATACAGGTAGTGAGCTTTGTGTCTGCCTGGTTAGTTCTTCCAACTATTCTGAGTTAGTGCTACTATACTATAAACCTAGAAAGTTAGCCTTAACTACACTGGTCAGCCCTTTAATTAAAAAAAAATGTTTATGATTTGGGGGTGAGGGGGTGGGAACTAAAGGAGCTGGAATAAAGTTGAGGGGATGATAAAATATGGGAACTCTAGCTCTGCCATTTCTGTGGTTTCCTCTCTATTTAGATCATCACAAATATATATTGTTGAGGACATGATGTAATGAAAACCATGAGCTTTGTGACACAAGTGACTTAGATGTGAATCCTGACATCACTTACTAGAGCTGAGAAACTTTGATCCTCAATTTCTGAAAGTAATAGAACATGAAAGCATTCCCTTTATAAAATGATCCTGATACACAGTTTTTCCATCAGTGGAAAGCTTTAGTTGAGCATCCTAAATTACACTTATCTCCTAGGTCACATCCTATGGATTAAAGCAGCATCAAGCACACCATGGTGTCCTCTGCCTCTCACCAGCTATGACAATACCGACCAATCTGCCCCTCAAGTTTTCTAAAGAAAAAACATCAAATGCAGGTCCCATCTTGCTTTGAAGGTAGAAGAGGAACTAAGAGCTGGTTGTTATAAAATTAAAACAAAGCAAGGAAAGGGGGAGATAAAGTTACTGCTGGATGAATAAAAGTGGGATGTGAGGGGAAGTAATACATTTTCAAGCAGGATATTTGAGGATGCAAAGGGGGTGATGGCAACATCTGTTCACACTGATGGGGAATCTAAATGTCAGGAATAATTTCTTTTTTTTTTTAGATTGATTTATTTATGCTTAAAGAACTGGGGTACAGGCCAGAGGTGTGGTGGGTGAGAGGATTCAACAGAGACAGTGGGGAACAGAACAGACAGATATACTGAAATACACTGCCTAGGGGAGCAGGGCTGGTCAGGAGAGGTCTGCCACCCCATGTGGGTCAGCTCCATGGCTGGGGATTGAACTCGTGCTGCTGTGGCTTCTGAGAGCTTCACTAGGGAGAGCCCCTAATTTCTTTCTTTCTTTCTTTTTAAAAATTTGTTCATATGTACAGAACTGGAGTACAGGCCAGAGGTACAGGGGTGGTGAGGGGCTTCACCAGAAACAGAATAGGGAGCAGAACAGGCAGATCTCCGAAGTACACTGCTGAGGGGAGCAGTGGGTGAGACAGGAGCGGTTTGCTGTGGATCACATCTGGGGCAGGGGATTGAACCCTCACTGAAACGGCTTGTAATGCTGCCTCCTAACCCTGCACACCACCAAGGAGGGCCTAACTTCTTCTTTTTTATATATATATATATGAAGAAATTATTTTTTAATATATTTATTTTTATATATATTTTACATCATTGGTTATTTTTATCCAGTGTTTGATTTCTCCTCCAGGTGTATGTAGTCCCATAAAATTCCCACCGCCAAGTCACTGGTGCCCCATCACCATAGTCTCTTTGCTCTTCCTGCCCTTTTTTTGATCCCTCTCCTCCTTGTCCCCTGCTGAAAGTCTCCAATATATACTTTGCCTGTTAGTTTTGTCTTTTCTTTTCCCCTGACATGAATAATTTAAGACAATTCCAAATTCCTCTTAAATTTGTCTTTGATAGATGGGATTAAAAAGGGAAATGAACATCAAAACTTCTAGTAAGTTGACTATATCATGGTCAAGAACATGTGTTTTTAAAAAATAATAAGCAGAATATTACAGAAACCATTCTCAGATTCAGGTCACTTGTTACTTCCTTAACATAGAGTTGAATCCTATGAAATTTTCTCTAAGAATTTGATTAATGCTTTCCCATCAAGTAATCAAAGTAGCAAACAGCGTGAAAACGATTTTGCCTAACAGATTGTCAACGTTTTGAAGAGGTAGTGAAGATCGCTCATCACTAGTGTTGATGAATGGAATAACAATCTCTCATGCAACAATGGCAGTAAGGATCACTCTCTTAGCAGAGTACTTTAGCAGTATGTGTTCATTTTATTAATATAAATACCTCTATCCCAGCAATTTTAATTCTGTGAATATATCCTAAGGAACAGAAAAGTGTACTAAGTTGCCTATACAAATATGTTCATCAAAGTGTCATTTGTTATACTGAAAACCAGACACTTGTAAATGATTGTCAACAATAGAGAATTGATGAAGTAAATTATAGTTCAGTTCCACACAGAGATTATTTTAAAATATTAAGTAAGGTCCTCCCTAGTGGCGCAGTGGGCTAAAGCACAGCACTAAGATGCTAAAGCCACTTCAGCATAAGTTCCACCGCCCGCCAGGGAGGTGACCACATGGCGCCTCAGACCTCTCCTGACCCACCCTCTGCTCCCCTCAG